AGAAGACCTTAGAAGTGGTACTCTGCGGAATATAGGACCTCAATAGGCTCTCTAAAGAAAAGAAGACCTCAGAAGATGTACTCGAAAAAATGAGAACCTCAAAAAGGCTTCTAATCATTAGATAATCCTGTACGAGCTTCGCAGAGTTCTTCGGAGCCTTGAAGAACCTTAGGAACATTTCTTTTTTTTTTTTTTTGTTGAATCCTATATTTGTTAGAGGTGGCTGGAGGTCTTTCATTCCTTAAAGGAGCTCTTCGGTAATGTTCTATGTTTTGTAAGATATCTTCTTTGGGTAAATCTTCTTTGGATGTACTTAGAGGACTTCGATACTTTATACGATCTCTTCTGTAATTTCGAACATTTCTTCTGGGGTCTTCAATAGCTTAGATAACATTTTTAGAGCTCCTCATTTTCTTAGAGGACCTATATTGAGTTTTTCTATACCTTGGGAGAAATCTTCTGGCGTCTTTCACTCCCAGTTCTGGCTTATGGGGCGTTCTCTAAAGTCTCCAAGCTTTTGAGAACCTTATTAGCGATCTTATATGCCCTGTACGGGCTTTTCGGACTTCTTCTGAGCCTTTGAGGACATAACTAAAGTCGAGTATGCTTGAAAATGGAGGGTCCGATCTTATATCCAATATATTTCGGAGAGGACCTCTTATGTAAGTTTCTGTACTCTAGGAGACCTCTTTTGAGCTCTCTTATAACATAGAGAATCATTTCAGAGGTCTTCATTTCCATATATGACCTCTTTTGTGTGTTTCTTCGATTCTTTCGGGGACATTTTCTGATGTCATTTACACCCTTACTGCATTAAGAGGCGTTGTCTAAAGTATCCAGCCTTAGATGTGAGAAAGATTGTCTATGCCTTGTACGGGCTTTTCGTATTTCTTTTGAGCCTTAGAAAACCTAAGGAACATTTTTTAAATCCTCTATACGTTGGAGGTGGCCAAAGGTCTTCTATTGCTTAGAGGACCTCTTCGGTAATGTTCTATGTTTTGTAAGACCTTTGACCACTTTTATAGCTTAGATGGCTTTTGGAACCATCTTCTGAGTTCTTCTATTCATATGAGCCTTCAAGTTTTGGAGGACCTTCTTTGGCATTTTTTATACCCTATGCACCTTCTTCTGAGCCTTGGAAGACCTTACGAATGTCAGTTATGTCTAATAAGAAACTTTATTTTCCTCAATCCTCTATTTATTGGAGGTGGTTTCAGGTCGTCAACCTTGCAGGACCTATTCTGTAAGGTCCTTTGCTACTAGTGTCTTATATAACTTAGAGAACCTGTTCGGAGGTCTTTAGTTGAGGTTTTCTATAACTAACTTCGTTTACTCCGGCTTTTGCTTAAAAAGAAGTCTCTAAGCCTTAGAAAGCCTTCTTTGAGATCTTCTATACCCTAATCGGCGGTATCAGAGCTCTCCTGGGCATTAGATAAGTGTACGATATGTATGACAAAGGATTCAAGGGATTCATTTTCGGAAACGTTCTATTTATAAGATTTCTTCTGTTTGGAAGTCCTTTTCTGGGGTCTTCTATAGCTTAGAGAACCTTATTAGAGGTCCCCAATTTCTTAAAGGTCCTCCTTTTACCATAGATTATCTCGTGTGTAATGTTCTATACTTTGGACTTTCTTACCTTAAAGAACTTTCTCAGATGTCCTCACTTATTATATTTTTTTTGGAGGTCACTTCTGAGGAATTTTACACCCAAGGCGACCTTTTCAGGGTCTCCCATTTCATAGGACCTCTTATAAATTTATTGCACCTATAATCTTTGGATGTATCACCTCTGGTACGAATATTCTCCTCATATTTGTTTGCTTTCCCAAAATGTATCATCGTAACCATTTTTGTAATCCCTCCCGAGTACCAAGAACCCATACTTGACTCACTGGTCCCATAACTCCGCTAAAGTTTCTTCCCCCGGGTGGCTATTTTTACATTCCAAATTGTGTTATTGTTTGTTTTGTTGTTGTTGTTGTGTGGCTTTATCACTTGTCGTTTTGTTTGTTCTACTCTTAACCCGGGGACTTATTTTTTCGCCACTCTTGGTGTTGTTGTTTTTGGTGTTGCAATTTACTGATATCGGTTTTTTGAAATTCAATTCAAAATTTTGTTCACTGCTTTTCATTAAAAACGACATTTTTTCTGTTACGTCTTTTTATTTTTAGTCATTCACACAGATACGCCGAACACTCGCACACACACACACTGCCGAAGAATTGATAACAGTTCTGGTGGGATCATAAAAATATCAAGGGTTTCTGATATCGCACCGAGTTCTTTGTGCTTGGCTACTATCAACGGCGGCAACAACAACAACTTCAACAACGCAATGAGTATTTTGGAGTGAATACAAAAATTTATGTTGTTGTTGGTGTTCTATGATAAAATAAAAATGAAATGGAGCCAAAAATTACAAAATGAAATATATATGAGGGTGGTTCACATCCGCTCTAGAGACAACGAGATCACAATAAAGATATTTTCAGAATATAAGACGTTAGAAGAGGTTCTAGAAAAAATCGAAGAACTCAGAAGTGATCCTCCAATCAATAGAAGACTTCAGATGAGGAACGCAACACCTCCGAAGAGGATTTCGAAGGAGTGAATAACGTCGGAAGAGGTCATCTGAGAAATAGAAGATCACAGATCCGCTCTAGAGACAACGAGATCACAATAAAGATATTTTCAGAATAAAAGACCTTAAAAGAGGTCCCATAAAATATCGAAGAACTCTGAAGCGATCCTCCAAGCAATAGAATACCTCCGATGAGGAACGCAACACCTCAGAAGAGGACTTCGAAGGATTGAATAACGTCGGAAGAGTTAATCTGAGAAATAGAAGATCACAGAAGGCGCCATATGTGACACAGAACCTCTCAAAAGAGAATGAGTTGCTAAAAACTCCTTCAAAGAACATAAGACTTCAAAGGAGGTTCCTGCGGGTGGTTCGCAACAACTAGTCCACAAAATAAATATATATTCGGAATAGACGGCCTTTGAAGAGGCCCTCGAAGGAGTAAAAGACCTCTGAGGGAGAAACACAACATCTCCGAAGAGGACTTCGAAGTAGGATAACCTCAGAAGTGGTTTTTTATGCAATAGACAATCGCAATAGACTGACACAGACAGATCCCATCAAAAGAGGTACATTAAGAAATATATTAATTTCGAAAAATGTATCCAGAAAAAAGTAGGACCTCAGAGGACGTTTCTGAAGATATAAAATTAGGAAGATCCTGTAAGAAATAGAAGACCTCAGAAGTGTCCCTCTAAGCCATAGAAGGCTTCAGAAGAGGTTGTGGAAGGAATAGAAGACTTCCGGAAAAGTCCTCTTAGGAGTAGGAGGACTTCACCTCTAGCCCACTAAGGAATGGAGGGCCTCAGAAGGGATCCTCTATAATATAGAGGACTTTACAAGACCTCAGAAAAGGTCGTGAGAGGAATAGAAACATCAAAGTCCTCTACGGAATAGAGTACCTCTGCAAAAAACATCTAAGAAATACAGGACACCTTCGAATTGGTCCTCCATTAAACAAAAGGCCTCAGAAGAAGGTTATCTAAGAGGCCTTCTCCCTTTAAGGATCTTCTCAAAGGTCCTTTGTACCTTAGAGATCCACTCCTCTGTTCCTTGGAGGACCACTTCAGAAAACTTTTTTTCCTTAGATAACCATTTCCGATGCTTTATATTATTTAGGTGACCTTTTATGAGGTGTCCTCTGCTTTGGAGGACCCCTTTCTGAGGTCCATGTATAACCTCACAGAAGTCTGGTGTACTTTAGATTACCACTTCGGTGGACTTCTGTTCCTTAGAGGACACTTCAGAGATATTCTGTTCCTTAGAGGACCAGATGGGGTTTTCTGTCAATGGAGAACATCTTCTTCTGGCTTTGTTGACCCCTTCTAAGGTGTTCGAGGTTTGGAGGGCCATTTCAGCGAATTTACAGGGGTCTTCTACATCTTAAATCTCCGTCTAAGAGGTATGGTGTATCTTAAGAACCACTTCAGAGGTCTTCCGTTCCTTAAAGGCTCATTTTAGAGGGCCTCTATTCCTTAGATGACCTGTTCGGAAGCTTTGTATTCTTTAGATAACCTTTTTTGAGGTCTCATGTGATTTAGAGCTCCCCTTCTGAGGTCTTCAGTCCATTGAGAACCTCTTCTTTTACCTTCGTTGAGCTCTTCTAGGGTCTCCGTGGCTTGGAGGACCACTTCTGTGAAATTATAAAGGTCTTCTACGCTTCGGAGGTCTTCTGTCCCTTAAATAACCACTTCAGAGGTGTTCTGATCCTAAGATAACCTGTTCGGATGCCTCCTATTCTTTTGATAACCTTTTATCAGAGTATGCTGTGCTTTAGAGGGCCCTCTCGGAGGTCTTCAATCAATGGAGAACCTCTTCTGTTGCCTTCGATGACCTTCTCTTCTAAGGTCCACTATTCCTTAAAGAATCTCGTTTTAGGTATTTTATGGCTTCTTAGGTCTTCTGTATGTTATAGGACCTCCTCTCAGAACTTCTGTTCTTTTAAATACCTCTTCTGAGATTTTGTGTTCTTTTAAGAATCGTCTCTGAGTTTCTCTATTCCTTTGAGGAATACTCCACTATGGAAAGTGTAGACATTTTCTGAGGACGAATTTTCTAAAGAGAAACCCCAATTGTGGTCTCATGTCCCTCGGAGGACCACTTTGAAGGGATTCCGCCCCATCGAGAATCGCTACTATGGTCGTTTATTGCTTCGAAGTCATTCTTTGAGTCTTCTTTTTATTGCGGTGCCTTTTTCGAGGTTCTCCGTGGCTTCAAGCGATCCTTTTGAGATCCCTCTTCGGAACATGATTTTTCTCTCTCAATTTTTTCGTTCGTTCCTTCGTTTTTAATTTCCTTTTAACTAATTTTTCTTCCTTCCTCTCTCTCTTTGCAGCAAATTCCATGACTTGTCAATGAATCAATCATTCCCGCCCATAAAATCCCCAACAGCAGCAGTAGCATCCAGCACCCTACCACCATGAATTCATCGAAGGAAACGAAGTCCTCAGCCAAGGCACAAAAGAAACAACAAAAGACAATTCGGAAACAACAACAACAGCAGCAACAACAAAACAAAACCAAAGAACACGACGAACAAACAACGCTGACCAAAAATCAGAAAAATTCCCTACAAAATAAATCCCAGAAAAACGGTGGCAACCCTCCGGTAGTGGTAGTGGTCAATCACAATAACAATAATATCGTACATGAAAACAACAACAATAGTACGAATAACAACAACAATGTTAGTCAAAAGTTACGGGAATATTATGAACAACAACAATTACAGAAGCAACAACTACTGGCAGCCAATAAATCGCTGATACCAGGCTATGAAAATGGACCCCCGAAATTTGAACGTTCCGGAAGTTTTTCCCTCAAGGGTAAGCTGTCGAAGCTCATCAATTCGATAACCAGCAGCAAGGAAAATCTGAGTAAAGCCGAAGAGGATGCGGGAGGAGAATTGCCATTCAAATTTACCCGTAGCCGATCGATGATTTTACCACGTCGAACCAATCGAAGGAGTTTAATTGAACCCCAGTTGGAACAGCTGTCGGAAGAGGTTGATGCCTCTTCGCCAGCCTCACCGCGAAAAAATTCCATTGAAAATGTGGAGATAACACCGCAAAGACCCATATCCTCACCGGAGGGAACCTCAGCGGCCTCGGCAACTTCCACTCCCCTCGATTCGGCAACAAATTCAGCGAGTAAACTGAGAAAAACCTCCACTCCTGTCCTACTGGCCGATCCCAATTTCGATCCCATAGCCAACTTTAAAAAACGCCGCTCCAACACCTTCATGTCCTCCTTCAAAAGCACCCTGGCCGGTCTGACGGGTAGCGAAAAGAAAAAGGAAAAACTCAACGACAAATGGCGTGCCTCCCTACAATCGCTGCAGGCCATCGATAACATGGTCAGCTACGAGAACATGTCCTTCATCGACTATGACAAGTTCAACGGCTACGAGAAACAGTTGGAACGCAAACTCTCCCAAATCAGTATCATGGATCCATCGCTGAACGCATCGATGATCACGCCGGACACTTCGCACATTTCGGACACCAGCTCGTACATACTGCCATCGCCCGTTGGTACCCCTTCGAACGTTTCGGCTCCCTCACCATTTGTTACGCCGCAAACGGTAGTGCGACGTCGTAAAACGTCATCAACGTCGTTGCACGGTTCCGCTCGTAAGCTGGCCGATCGTCGTAGTGCGTCGCGCAATAGCTTTACGCTAGATTCAGATTACGAGCACAATCTGGACAAACCGCGTAACGTATATCGGGAAAGTTTGGATTCGCGTAAACTCGAACTGTTGAATGAGATGTCGCGGAATTCGTATATTTTGGATAGTGATCTGATCGATATATTGGATTTGGCAGCGGTAACGCATGGGAAACGTGGTACCAGTGGCGGTAGCGGCAGTGGCCAGCATAGGCCGAATTATCGTCGCGGATGCAGTCATACCAGTGGCAGAGATGTCGTCGACGGAGTGTGTGCCGGTGGAGTTAATGTACAGGTGAGTGAAAACATGATTAAGGATTTTGGAGGGTAAATAATTATGGACGGGATCCATAGAGGTTCTTCTTCATTTTACCTATTCTGAGATCGTCAATGCCTTCTCTGAGGTCTAAAATGCTATAGAAAATCAGATACAAACCCCTCCGAATTTGTTTTAGCATAGGTCCTTCACCGAGGTCCTATAAGCCTTGGCGGGTCATGGCTTATGATATTCTGAGATTTAGTGGACTTCCTAGGATACCCTGTTCGCCATTGCCCTGCCTTGCGGATGCCTTCTATACCCCATAAGACCCTCCTTGAGGTCTTCTATACTTTACAGGACTTTCTCATGGGTCTTATTGGCCTTAGAGGACCTTCGTAGATGATTTGCACGGCTTTGAGGAACTTGCGGAGATCCTACACGATTAAGAATATCATCTCAGGATTATTCTATCCCTTACATGACATTTTCGGTGGTAGTTTAGGCTTCCATGTCTTAGATGACCATCTCAGATGCCTTAAGTGCCTTAGATGACCCCATCAGAGGTTTTATTAGCCTTCGAGGATAATTTCTGAAATCTTCATTGAGCTTTTCGGAGCACTTCTGAGTCATACAAGGCTTTATTGACACCATCGGAGGTCCAATTGCCTTGAAGAAGTTTCTATGAGCCTTCTAGACCTTAGATGACCTCCGAAGATGTAATTTCTACTATTGTTAGGTATATATGACCTGTAGACCATTCTCAGTGGTCTCCTCAGATGTTTTAATAGGTCTTAAGGGTTTTTCTCTGCGGACTTTTAGGGCTTCGAGGAACCCACGAAGGTCTTCATTTCGCCACAGAACAATTAATGAGGTCTTCTAAGCCCTGTGGGATCTTTTTAAGAAATCCTCTGCACTTTAGTGGACCTTTCCGAGGTCTTCTGGAATTAAGAGGACAACTTCTATAGCCTAGAGGACCTAATAAGATCTCTCTTATACTTTAGAGGAGCATCACAGAGACCTTCTCACGACCTCTGAGTACCTTTTCACAAAGAGAGACCTACTCAGAGCTGCCGTATGCCTTGGGTGACTTCCTCTCAGGTCTTATGGGAACTCCTTAGAGTACTCTTATCCCTTAGATAATCTTCAGGCATTTTTTGTGTCTTAGCCTACCTCCTCAAATACTGTTTATGCTTCCTTAGCTTAGAGGACCGTATCATAGCTCTCGTATTAATTAGAGGAGTCTCCTTAAGGCATTATTAGACCTTTTCGTATATCATCTAGGTCTTTTAAGTCCTCCGCGGGATTCATCTTTCTCCGAAACTCTTCAGTGCCTTAGCCGACCTTTTTAAAATATTTTCTGAACCTAGAGGGCCTTTAGGAAGAACTTAGAGGACAACTTCAACAGTCTTCTATATTTTATACCTTAGAGGAGCATCACAGAGGTCTTCTAAACTTTCGATGACTTCCTCGCAGGTCTTTTAGGCCTTATATGATATCCTCAGAATTCTCCAATCCTATAGAAAACCTTTTCAGGACCTCTGAGGATCTTTTCAGAGATCTTCTGAATCTTAGACGACCTTCAAAAGGTCTTTCGGAACTTTGAGGGCAACTTCAAAAGTCGTCAGAGCTCTCGTATGTCTTAGATAAGTATCACAGAGGCCATTTAAGACTTAGATGGCTTCCTCTCAGGTTTTAGAGGACCTCCTCAGATTTCTTCTCATTCACGTATTAATAAAAGGAGCCTCGTGTAGGCATTCTAGGACCTGCGCACAGTTTTTTATGTCTTACAGGACCTCCGCTGAGTTTTTCAAGTATATAGAGAACCATTTCAGAAATCTTCTCAGCCCTATCCGATCTCCACAAGGGACTTTTATGATACAGAAAGTCGTCAAAATTGTTTTCTGTACGGAATCTTCAGAAGTTTTCTTTGGATCACGGGCCAAGCCTCCATTACCTTGTCCATTCATGTTTATTGCCTTGAAAACTTGACTATTTTAATTGCTATAAAGACTCACATCCCATGCCCACCCCTCTTTTTCTACAAACACATTTTCTACCTCCATCTCTACCCCCTACTCTTCATTCCTATCGACTTGATTGGTTGTCTCAGCGTTTTTTCATCTTCCTCTTCTTCTTGATTTCAGTTCAATATGGCAATGATATTGATGTTGTCAATTAATTTGAAAAAGAAGTTTTTTGCGCGCATTCTGCTGGTCGTCGTCGATGTCGTTATTCTTTTGCGTTCTCAATTTAATTGATGTCTACGTCGGGGTGTGTGTGTCAAAAAATATTCTAAAGATGCCCATTGAAGTCATGTTGTGGGTAGGGGGAGGAGGGATGTTATGACGTTGACAGTTCTCGAACGACAGCAACAACATCGTACGACAACTATATGGACAAGTCTATAAAAAACTATTAAAAAAATAATGATGAACATTGAAAAAAATAACATCGATACGTTTTAATTAATTGCGGAGCGAAGCAAATCCGAGGAGGGGAGAAAATTGAGAGATGGTGAGAGGGGGTGAACAATGAATGACAGATCTTTCAACAAAAAAATCCTGAATTTGTATTAGTGGACCAGAAATGTTTCGTGCCTGATTATCCGATTTATTCCGAACTTTGTGTATAAACTTCTCAACAACTTCATAAACTTACAGGGCTTTCTGGAAGGGTTTTTAGGCTTTGCAGGAAGTTCTCAGTGACCTTCACTGCCTTCGCTGACCTCACGAAGGGCTTGTCCTTACGAAATCGTACATGGCTTAAAGAACTGCTTCAGGAATCTTCAATCCTTTAAATGACCGCCTCTGAAGTTTTCTATACCTCAGAGAACCTATATGATTTAAAGCGCCTTACCTTATGACCTAAAGGATCTTATCTAAACACTTCTGTATATTGTAGAACCAATTCCGTTTGCTAAGAGAACCTTACGAAAGTCTAATATACCTTAGAGAACCTTCTCAAGGGTCTTATATTCCTTCTGAGGGGTGTTATATGCCCCAGAGGCCTCCTTTGAATTACATGACTATCTCAGAGGTCATCTGTGTAGTATAGAACCTTATCACGGGTATTTTAGGTTTTAGAAGCTCTTCTCTCAAGTAACGAAGAGCTCGTAAGGACTTCTCTGAGATTTTCTGAGCCTTAGAGGTCCTTAAGAAATTCGTTTATGCCTAAAAAAACTTCCTCAGGATTCTTTAATCCCTTAAATGACCACCTCATAGGTTTTCTATACTTTCAGACCATACATGACATACCTTATGATATAAATGGGTCTTCTCTGAAATCTTTTATGTTTTGTAGAACCACTTTCACTGCCAAAGAGAACCTTACGAAGGTCTTATATACCTTAGAGAACTTTCTCAAGGGCCTCAGAGACTTCTTTTGGCTTATATGATCCTCTCAGATGTGTTTTATTCATTATAGAATCTCCTCGAGGATATTCTAGGTCTCACAATATGTTCTCTGAAGCAGCAAAGGGCTTGTAAAGACACCTCTGAGATTTTGTGGACCTTTGAGGTCCTTACGAAATTCATATATGTATTCAAGAACTTATTCGGGAGTCTTAAATACCTTAAACAATTACCTCAGAGGTTTTCTATGCCTCCAGACTATATATATGTAGAACTATTTCCATTGTCAAACAGAACCTCACGAAGGTCTTATATGCCTTAGAGAACCGATCTATGATATCACAGAGGTCTTCTATACATTATAGAACTTTGTCGATGCTATTTAATGTCTTAGGCAATCTCTTTCGAAGTTCTTATATTTATTCCGGAAGTTTGATATTTTTGATTTCTCTAATTGATTAGACCTGTAACTATTTTAATCCGTTAAAAAAATCCATTATTCCACCTACAAATGCCTTATCCGCGTTTATACGAATTTCGATTTTTTCTTTAAAATTCTTTAAATTTGTACACATTTTGTTATTGGGACCACAATTTACCCATATCCGTTTAAAAATCTTCAGTATTCCACCTAGAAATGCCTTTATCCGTTTTTTCCGATTTTCGAAGCTTTTATATTTATTGCGGAAATACCACATTTTTGATTCCTATAATTACTGGAACATCTTCCTAATCAATACCGTTAAAAAATTGCCAACACTCCGTCTAGAAATGCCTTATCCGCGTTTATCCGTTTTTATCCGAATTTCGAAGTTTTTATATTTATTGCTGAAATGCTATATTTTTGATTCCCCTGATTGCTTGGACCTCTCCCTACACAATACCATTAAAATTACCTCAATATTCCAACTAGAAATGCCTCATCCGCGTTTATCCGTTTTTATACGAAATTTCGGATTTTTATTTTGTCTTCAAAAATTGTAAAATAAAACAATTATATTTATAGATTTAGACCTGTAGAAGGCTATGTCGAAAGAAAATTTTCAAAATTCGGTTTAGTCGGGCCTTATCCGAACTTATCCGTTTTTACCCGAAATCGGAATTTGTGATTTTTCTCTAAATTTTAATGATATGTATAGATTTAGACTTGTGGAAGGCTATGCCGAAAGAAAATTGTAGAAATTCAGACTAAAAGTACGTTATCCGCGCTTATCCGTTTTTATCCGAAATTCCAAATTTTAGAAAAATGAGCAAAAAATCAATCATACGTATAGATTTAGACCTGAAGAAGGCTGTGGCAAAAGAATATTTTCAAAATTCCGATTAGAAGTGCCTTATCCGCGCTTATCCGTTTTTATCCGAAATTTCAAAATTTAGGAAATTTTGCAAAAAACCAATAAATTTATAGATTTAGACCTGAAGAAGACTATAACGAAAGAATATTTTCAAAATTCCGACTAGAAGTGCCTTATCCGCACTTATCCGTTATTATCCGAATTGTAATTTTTACGAAAATTAGCAAAAAAAAAAAAAAAATCAACGTACGTATATATGTAGACCTAAAGAAGCCTATGGCAAAAGAAATTTTTCAAAATACCAACTGAAAGTGCCTTATCCGCAATTATCCGTTTTTATCCGAAATCTGAATTTTATGATTTTATGATTATTTCTTCAAAATTCAACCAT